ATATATATGAAAGATAAAATTTATACTGTATAAAAACATTACTAACTAATAAATAATACCTGTTCTGTAATTGTGTATACAACATATAGCTTTATTATTAATGGAAAATACCGCTTTGAAGCAATCAATAACTAGATACTTAGTATTTCTTAATAGAAAAAGACTACAGTTTACGACAATAGGCAAATTATGGAGCTCCTAGTTCCTATATATTTCCAACTGTTACTTTCACGATTGTCTGTTCGTATCAGATGTAGAGACGCATACATCGATTGTTCTATTGTAAACGTAATAGTAGGCGAAAAATAACACAAATTAACTATTACACGAACATGTATTTTTATTAAGAACTAGAAGACCCAGCAAACTTCGTATCGCCCTATAATCAAGAAATATCTGTTACATTTTTTTATTTATATTTTTGGAGTTTACCTATTAAAGCCATAAATCTCCGTGTTTTGAAGTGCGACAGAATGTTTGACATATTAGTTAGTTGTCAAATCTAATGTCAAAAAAAACGTTTGTATGGGAAATAGAAAAGGGCTGTTTTTAGGGTTTTCCCGGCAATTATTCCAATTTTTCTCACCTTCTAAACCTTTCCTGGACTTCCAAGAGTATTTCAAGACTAAAATTAGCCCAATCGGTTAAGCCGTTCTCGAGTTTTAGCGAGACTAAGGAACAGCAATCCATTTTTATATATATAGAAGATTCCGTAATACATATTTATCTTGACGCTCGTTGAATATTCATGCAACGTCAATCCTATGCATTGTCAACATTATGATGGAATGAATTAAAAAACGTAAACATTAGTTATATAAGTAGTCTTTATTACTGCATCCTGTTAGACCAGGAGCGTGAGGGCTATGTCAATGTCTCATATACATATATATACATGTGTATATATGTCTGTCGGATCGCGTATTGTGGTCACGCGTCGGCCGTAGCAGACGGTCGGACGCCGGTTAACATTATATTGAACAACTGGTTTGGCTGAAGTTAAACTTGTGATCTTTACTGGTTAAGACAAGTATATTATGATTATCACGATGACATAACGGTGGGTTAAACTTGACCTTTACACCGTTTGAAGTAAGGGTTAACAGATAAATATTTTTTTTATATTTAGGTTTGATTACATATGTTAAATTGATAACACTGGAAAACAGCATGTCTGTTGCATGAGATTTTTTACATGAATCTGAATAGTTTTTCCACGCTTATTTCAAAAATATATGCCGTTTTTATGTAGCAGCTTTAGTTTTGGAGTTATGAAGAGACAGGGTTTTTCATTAAAAATGCACATAATTTAAGTTTAAAAAATTATTAAATATATTTATTCTGAATAAAATTTCCTTTTTGTGGATTTTCTAGAGTGATATGTATAATGAGTACTATTTTGAATGCTCCAACAATAACCAGCCATCATATATTCCTTCCAGTACCCCTGATACCTGTTCTCCATAGCGCGAATATCCTGTTGAAAGCGCTCTTCTTGTTCCTCGCTTAGGTCACTTTGATTTTCAGGAAAATAGTCTAGGTGGTTGTGAAGATAGTGAAGCTTAATACTCATGTTGTATCCAAGCAGCTGGAAGTGTATCAGCAACTGTTCAACGTAGCCGTCAGACTTAGTATTCTCAAAAAATTTCTCACTACTCAAACAAACTCTTCCCATGCACATTTCTCAATAGCTGTCATATGGTTGATGAAATTTTTATCATCTATCAACTTTTAGACAGCCCAAGGTCCCTGATCAAGTCACTTAGATCCTCTTTATTTAGTAATTCGGGACTATTTTCTCTACCACTGTCGTAGTTTCGGTTTGTCTGCTGCACTGGTCTGGATTTTCGAAGATCTATGTACATGGCTGCTGTGGTGTTGATGTGTCACTAATACTCAAGACTGGTCTTACGACAGTTTTTTAGTTTGAATATATCCACTTGGAGCAATTTTTATGGTTTATTCCTATGATTTTCGTTACACAAAAATAACAGTCGTTATGATGGTTGGGTGGTTCACGCCATATCATGGGAGATTGGTACTTAAAATTTAGTCTTTTTTTTTGTTTGTCTATAATCGCAAAGATTCAATACAACTTTTACACACCAAAATTGGTATCAAAGGTTTAGCGTTTGATGGCAACGGAAACCCAAAGTAGTCCAAGTATGCCTTTTTTACAAAGTCTGACACACTAAAACGACATTTTTTGAACATATATTATCCGCAAATAGCACAAAAACACTCAGGATTATTTAAACACGTCCTTCTTGAGGAAGACATAATGAAATTTATAAAGGGACTAGTTAAGTTACACTGCTATTGGTAGAAACTATTGACAACTTATGTTAATTCAAGACGGACCTGTATCTGACTAACTAGAGCTGCTACAAAAAATCTGAGGTCAGATTTAAAATTAGCGCACCCAAATTAGTAAACAACAGTAGAAAAACTTCATGCAACAAAAAAAAAGTTTGATTTTGTTGTGCTGTGTAATATATACTGAAATTATTAAATTTTCGTCTTCTTCCTGAAATTCCCAGATTAAGCCAAGGTCTGCCTTACATGTTAAATACTCGAAACACATACATATGACTCGAAACCGGGCCTTTAACCACTAGGCCGCCACTGACTTATGTGAACTGAAATTAATAAATATTGATACAAAAGCCAAAATAAATAGAATGTTGCTTGGGCTAACGGTTACATGAATGATAATTAAATATTCTTCTTGAAAAAAAGTTCTTTTAGTTTAAATTACAGATAATGATCCAAAACTCTTTTTATATTTCACGTTATTTCGTGGTTTATAAAATAAAGTCTTTTAAATTTTGGATATCACCCAATTTAATTTTTTTCCTCAGACTGGGTCTGGTAAGACGTACACTATGGGTAGTGGATGGGAAGGCGAGGATGTTTATGAGGAGAAGAGGGGCATCATCCCTCGAGCGATACGAGACCTGTTCGCGGGGGCGGACGAGAGGGCAGAGGCTGCTCGGTCACAGGGTCAGCTGCCACCAGAGTTCTCGGTACAGGCGCAGTTCATAGAACTTTATAACGAAGATATAGTAGACTTACTGGATCCAGCTAGAGATCCCTTCGCTAAGGTTTGTATCTATACTTCTACGCCAATAAATTTTGGGACTTATTTGCATTTAAATGAAACTAATATTTTACGGATGTATTTTTGTGCTTTATTTTTGTAAAAAGACTCCATACTCCTGACGTTTTGGCAACTTTTTAGCAATCGTGATCACGAATCTCTGGTAGATGATAAATAACAGGACCAACTGAAAGACATTCACATCTTGTCTGCCCGTGATCACGGTTATTGAAACGTAACCGAAACGTCAGGAGTAAAAAACTACATAGTTTTTTACAAAACTAAAGCAAGCGTAGTATATCCAAAAATTAGTTTCATTTAAATGAATAAAACTGATGAAAGTCTTAAATCTCATTCCTTATTTACTCTGTTTATCAATTCTTAGGGTACATTAAGGATAACTGAGGACGGCGTCGGCGGAGTCCGTATAGTTGGTGCGTCTATGCGAGCTGTGAGAGGAGTTAAGGAAGCGCTAGCAGCTTTACGAGCTGGGGCTCTAGCCCGAACCACGGCCGCTACTAACATGAATTCGTCGTCTTCGCGGTCACATGCAGTGTTTACTTTACTGTTACGACAAAGACGACTAGCACCAGACCAAGATGGCGTAGATAGAGAAAACGATGGAGATACTCCCGAACAATACGAGACGCTGACAGCCAAATTTCATTTTGTAGACTTAGCCGGCTCGGAAAGACTGAAACGAACGGGTAATTAATATTATTCGAAGTAATTTAATATAATTTATAGAGGTTATTTATAAAATCAAGATGAATTTTGTTCCAGGTGCGACTGGGGATAGAGCCAGAGAAGGAATTTCAATTAATTGTGGCCTTTTAGCCTTAGGAAATGTGATATCAGCTTTAGGTGATAAATCGCGGAAAGTTCTACACGTACCTTACAGGGACTCGAAATTGACGAGACTCCTTCAAGATTCTCTTGGAGGTAGGCTATGGAAACAAAAAAATTTCAAATTTCTAACAGTCTTGAGACCTATCATGTAAAACTTACAGGTAATAGCAACACTATAATGATAGCCTGCATATCGCCCAGCGACCGAGACTTCATGGAGACTTTGAATACATTAAAGTACGCGAACAGGGCGAGGAACATCAAGAACCGCTGTGTAGTGAACCAGGACCTGACCTCGCGGACCATCAGCCAGCTGAGGCACGAGGTGGCGCGGCTTCAGCTCGAACTGGCTGAGTATAAACAGGTAATGGTACTATTATAAATAAATTATAGCCAATACAGACATTTATATATAGAATATAAAAATAATCACTTCTTATAGGGTAAACGAGTGGTATCAGAAAATGGAGAAGAGGGCTGGAGCGACGTGGTCCAAGAGAACGCCATACTGAACGCTGAGGTGGAATCTCTAAGACGAAGGGTGAAGGCTATGCAAGGAACCATCGAACAGTTGTCCGCGAGGAACAGCGAGCTGGTTGCTGAGAAGGCGCTAGGCACCTGGTCACCCAAGAATGGCAGCCCTGAGACTGCAGACTGCTCTTTGACAGCATTAGTGCAGGTTAGGCTTCAGATGTAAATTGCTCAACATTTTTTTCCACGGACTATATATGCTTTCTCTCTCTTATGAGAACCATGTGAGCGAGACAGAATACAGCTTCATATAACATGGATAAATGGTCCATTATGCTCTATCATGCTTGAAATGATTTTTTCTCTCTCATACCAGAACTTCGTAAGCGAGACAGAAGATGGCTTCATAACATGAATAAATGGTCCATTATGCTTTATCATGCTTGAAATGTTTTTTCTCTCTCACGTCAGGGCTACGTGAGCGAGATAGAAGATCTCCGAGCTCAACTAATGGAGGCCAATTCGTTGTATGAAGCCAGCAGACGAACGGGAGGCTCGCACCAGACATGACTCGTCCTTGATGGACGCCTCCACGATACTGGATGACGCTAAACGAGAGTTATATAAGGTAGTATATAAACTATACTACATAAAGGGTGTATTAGTTTCTATTATACTATTGGAACCTTAAATTCTGTAAACATATGAAAATTTCTACCATAAATCCATTTCCCTGTTACGTAATAGATCAGAAAACAATGGCGTGTTCCTTCAAAATTAGTTCTTAAAACGAAAACGTTTTTAACCAAATATCTTTCACAGAACAACACACCTTATAACAGTGTTTAGGTACTTGTCAAGAGTCATCTTAAGGATTTATGTTCAACGCTTATGTGTACACGTCAATAAAGTACTGAAATAAAATATTGAACTCAGAAATGATTTAACGTTTACGCTGTGACTTGTAGTAAGTAGCATTTAATGTGTATCTTCTGTATTCAGCAACCGATAATTTAATTCATTTTTTTTTATAAATACATATATTGTATGCTTCAATAGTTACATAGGCAATTTTATGATAAATACTTGGATAAAAATTTATATAGGAATATACAGTATAAAAACGCTTTTAACATCTGGAATTCCGATTTCCAGAAGTTGCAGAACTTCATTTGTTTCTCTATATGATTTTTAGCTTATGTATTATTTTGTATCCTTGAATACATCGCACGAAACACAAAGAGCGATTAACATTGTTGATGCGAAATATGTTGGGAAAACTGTTTGAGAATCACAACTATTGTATACATGTAGTGCGAAAGAGAATTCGATGCATGTTTGTTATTGAATTAGAATATCTCGCTAATATTCCACATAAACAATACATTGAAATTAAAATTATATTTCATTAAATAGTCTTATTTAAATGTAAGGAAGGTTTAAAATCAAACCTAGCTTTTTGAAAATGACCTACAGAGGCCCAAAATTCGTATTCGGAATAAAAATCGCTTTATTGACCTCATTATGCTTACCCCTAATTTGCGTCGTCATACTACAGACGGACCGTTAACAGTTTAACATTCATGATTTATAACAGTTATATAGCAAAATATATTTTTTACGTATGTTATGAGTGGAAACCGGATACTCTTCGTATGTAGTTTTCGATGCAAACTTGTGTTAAGCATACGATTTCTGTTGTCTTTGAAATATGTTAAATTTGAGGGTCATAATTTAAATTTCTAGAACGAATTTGCCTTAAGGAAATAAGTAGCTTGTCCAATGACATGGTATAATTGAAAAAAAATACTATTATTATTTTACATTAGGACATTTTAATGGATTCAAATTAAATAATTCCCAAGACATTTAAATACCCATTAATTTCTCGTACAAAGTCTGATGGCTTTAATGACAGTTAAGTATATTTAGTTTTACGAAACCTTCAAATTGTAGGTATTCAAATTTGTAGCAACTATCAGATATGTATATTAGAAACTAGCTGCACCCCGCGGTGTTCCCGCGGATTTCCGGTATGTAAAGTAGCCTATGTGTTATTCCTGGACGTCAGTTTCCTATATACAAAGTTTTATTAAAATCGGTTCACCCGTTTGAGCGTTAAGAAGTAACAAACATACACACACACTCACAAACTTTTGCTTTTTTAATTTTAGTAGGATAAAGTAGAAGGGGTAGCAAATTATAAGGCGAAAGGAAAATTTATATTCCATATGATCTCTCTATTTCTCATTAAATATTACTTGGTGCTAGCTCCTTGGCGCTAACGCATACCATTTTGATAAGTGACACGAAATGTAATAGGAAGACCTTTTTTTTAATATGTGTGCAACGAACAGTTAACTTCCTTTAACAAATGCATTCTTACTCGCCATGAATATTAATACCATTATTTTAACATCAAATTCTGATGTTATTTACAGTTTTTTTTGACAGTTTCTAATTGCATTGCCGATATAGATTTTTTTATCTTTCTCGTATTTAATGTTCAGGAAAAAGAACTTCTGGCTCGTAGTATGGGTGAATTGGAGTTCCAGCGTAAGTTATCTGAATCCGGCAGTCAGCCGATAGAAGAGAGGGAGAGGGCTGAGGGGGAGAGCGCGGGAGACTCGGAGCCGTCTGGAGAGAGTGACTCAGAAGATGAAGAGGCTACGGGTTAGTGAACATAACTTATGGACTTATACACACATATTTTATTAGAGTTTTCCAACAATACATGACGAAGTTTTTTTTTGTTGTTGTGAAAGTGTTATTTCTCTTTTCTTTTTGTTACATAATTACGTCCATTCACGAAAATTCGTGAATCATTTGTTTATCAATTATTTTGATCTTATTAGAAATTAGTTGACTGAAGTCTCGAAATTCTTAATTCCAAAAACTAAACAAGTTATTACGATCTCCACTTCTACTTTACACTTATTGTTTATACAACTTAATACAGCCAAGCTATTTATAAACCAAGCCATCGGTCGCTATGTTGGTGTACCCCGGATCTGTCAGCGACTTACTCCCTCGGAGAATGGGGGCGATCCGTAACATAGGTCGTTAATATTTTTCGGTGTATAATCCAGGTCAACGTCAGCTAACAGCTCAGTTAGCAGCGCTCAGTGAGGACATAGATACTAAAGCTCGGCTCGTGGAGCAGCTTGAGGCGTCCCAGAGACGACTGGCCGCGCTGAGGACGCACTACGAACAGAGACTGGACCAACTACACGCACAGATCAAGGCTACTGGAGACGAGAGGGACAAGGTGCTCGCCTCGCTCGGTGAGAATACATACATACTATATTTTGGCCAATGACTAAAAGTAATAAAATCTTCTAGAAATAGTACAATACCATTTGTGATGCAGAGGTTATAAAAGTTTTCTCTAAAATACCACTTTATATTTTTGGAATTATAAAATCTATTTTTTGTTTCATCAACGTATATCTCTTGGTTTTACCTGGGTATCGTTCGGATTGCAATTGATGTTGCAGTGCAAAGTTATTTTGAATAACTAATAATATCACTACAACTAAGATCGATAACTTTTGTCATAGTCATCCAAAATCGTGACGTCACTAAAATTTCTTTCCATAATATTCCCTATATCTAGCGAGCCAGTCGTCCCAACCTAGCGACAAATTAAAGCGCGTTAAGGATGAGTACGAGCGTCGTATGAGCACCATGTCTAGAGAATTGAAGCGGCTGCAAGCGGCTCAAAGGGAACACTCGCGGCTACAACGATCACAACAACACACGGCCACGCAGATACACGCGCTGAGGAACGAACTGCAGAACTTGAAGAGGGATAAGGTTGGTTGGCATTTGATTACCGGAGCGCCCTCACATAGGGAGAGACCCGCCTTAGGAGCGGGTCGCCGTCGCCGGGGCTACGAGGTAGGATGCGCAAGCGACCCCTTGTAGCCTTAAAGCGACTGAGGGTAACCGGGTGGGTTTTAGCCGGTAGGAGTTCGGCATAATCACACGCCTCCCCCGGGGCGTGTGGTATCCATGAGGATTTCCCAGCCGTCAAAAAAAAAATATGGTTGGCATTTGATATGGAGAGAGAAAGGTCTATATATTGGCAGATACGATTGGAATGAAATCTTAAAATTGTGACTATTCATTGTGACAGGAATTAAAAGAATATTTACGAATGTACTTATGCATTAATACTGCACTTTTTAATGATATGACTAATATCATTAATCTCGAATTGGACTAGTTTAAGGCTAAATGATTCTGACTGTTTATTAAGATATTTGTCAACAATAAATCTATCTTATCTTGTCTTCTCGTCGTTTTAAAATAAAAACCAAATCAAATTTAGGATTTAAATTAACTTTAACCTTCAATCAAAATATATATAACTTGTTTAAATGTCTGATACTATTTGTTGAATGCATTCATATTCTGTTGTATTCACAGGTGAAGTTAGTTCAACGTATGCGAGCTGAATCTAAACGTCACGCACAAGCGGAGGCGGCGCGAGCGAAAGAGGTAATATGAAACCATATTATTATATATATACAATTGTACAATATAATTCTAATGACTACATAATACATGATGCGGTCCAGGTGGCGCAACTGAGGAAGGAATCTCGAAAAAATGCAAATTTAATAAGAAGTCTGGAGGCAGAGACCAGGCTGAAGGAACAGGTGCTGAAACGGAAACAGGAGGAGGTGTCGCTACTGAGAAGAGGACATAGGGACAAACTGAGTGTACGGGCCGCGGGGAGACTACACGGTCAGTATAACACTGAATTATCACTGATTATTTGGTCGTTAGGGTATTAATATATAACACCAGATTGTTCAATATATAAACGTTTTCTTTTACATCTTACCAGTAGATTGAAAGCATGAGATGAGTTCTAGAGATGATTGAAGATGATGATGAGTGAATTCTTACCAACTAACGCATACAGTGGGCGCGTTTTCCGTTTCTTTTATTCTCTTATTAATTTGTGAGAAAGTATGGATATCGTTGGATCATGCAAAAAACAACTTTAACGTACATATTAATAGCGTTTATTTGCCCTTGTTCATAGACCGCGGGCGTTCCCGAAGGCCCCGCGAGCTGTGGTCCCGCCTTGAGTGCTGGGTGTCTCGCGCGTGTGCGGCTCGTGGTACACTGGCTGAGCTGGAGGCTGCGCTGGAGCACCAGCTGAGGGAGAGGGACCGCGCCGCCGCTCTCCCACACACTACAGATAATATGGAGCTACTGGCTTACTTGAGGGAGGCCATCGCTGACACACAGTCACAGATCATGCAGATAGAGGTAGATTAAATATGATGATACTTATTAAAATGGTTAATTACTGGGTTTGAAAAGAAACGTCTTTGTAGCTTTAATAGAAGATTTAACATAACATAAAAAAAGCTTAGGTCAATGGGGGTCCACCATATTTGGATGGACACACGAGATGTTTTATAAAGGTGACTTTAAACTAGACTTAATTCTATAATATAGCATACACACTATATTTATTACACTTCAATGGCACGAGTCGAATAAAATGGTTGGGAACCGGCATAGATAGTAAGATATCTAGACTAATATTAAGAGTTTGTTTGTTTAAAAGCGCTTATCTCAGGAACTACTGGTTCGAATTGAAAAAATAATTTTGTGTTGAATAGACTATTTATGAGGAAGGCTTTAGGATATATAACACCACGCTGTGATTAATAGGAACGAAGAAACATCAGAAAATGTGGAAAAAACTACTCCACGCGGACGAAGTCGCGGAAACACAGCTAATGTATCTATAAAGGAGTTAGTTATATACTAAAAAACTTAGTGTTTTTGAAACGATGTACATATGTAATATAAATATGTAGGTAACAGTTAGTATGACGTCGTCAGTTCATTTTAGACTACACGGAATGAGTCACTATAATATAACTTTATATAGGTGTAGTATTTTTGAGTAGGTACGAGTATATATCTCTAAGAGAGAAACACGCGTCCGTTCGATAGCTCGTTTATTATAGAACTGACACACAGTAAAAAATATTCATCCTACCAACATTACAATAGGTGAAAGTCTATTTCATACAAATCATAATACATTGTGTATATAATAATGTGAATATAAGATTATGTGAATGTATATTCCAGGAGGAGAGCGAGGAATCGGAGCTACCGTCGGTGTTGTCTGCGGCGGAGGGAGAGGCGTCGCGATACGCACTGGAGCGGCTCGCCGCGCTCACACTCACACACGCGCATGACGCAGCGCGCAGGATGCACGCGCTCAACGACGCACGCGCACAGTTGGCTGATGTACACACACACATACTGAAACTAATTATAGTCTATCTGTTTTGTTCCTAATTTTCCTAGTCATTGTTATTGAACAAATGAGTTAAAGAGAATGAATTTTTTTTGTTGGTATTCATTAGGATTGGCAAAAATTTATAGAGCGGAGGTTCATTAATACACACCAGTAAAGAACCGAAACATACGAAGCTATGAGTAAAAATAAAATACCTATTAGACAGTTCATCAATAAATATTGCTTAAATCAATCTATTTCAAATGTCTCTGTTCACATTATAGCTAGAGGAGAAGTACGAGCGTGCGATGAGCGCCCTCCGCGCTACAGAGGACCAAAACCTGAACCCGTGGGGCGCGCCGCCCGCCCTGGCCGCCCTACTCGCCGCTGTGTCCTCGGGAACCTCCACCAGATCCGTCTCGCCTGTTGATAGGTACATACATACATACATACATACTAAGAAACATTATGTGTATATACATATATATTTGTGTTTGTTACATACATGTACATGTTTCTTAGTTTCAGTATAGACACGTGCTTGTGTATGTATACGACTATGTACTGATATAGCATCTCCAATCATACATAGTTTATGTATAAAATTTTGCACTTCGATTAAATTCTTTACAATTATATCGAAACGTGTTAATATTTAATATAAATATACGTGATATAACATTTGGTTGAATATTACCAGAAATTATATCAGTGGTAATAACGATAAACATGAGATCGGGAACCCCACTACTCGTATGACGTCACACGTTACGGTATAAACAGATATATTAATGAAATACTCTACATATCTGTTTACTTATACTATGCAAACTTGTGATAATGATATAGATATAGTTTTCTAGTATATCTCAGACACATTAATGAAAATTATTTATAAGTGGTCTTTACATAAAGTAATGTTTTTTTCTATCATATCACATTAATATATAATGATCTCAATATATTTCCAGCGCCCTGTTAGAGGTGAGACCTCGTGTGGTCGGTAAGCGGGAGTCCAACACGGCGCCCACCTCGCCCCCCGACGATAACAGAAACTCACCCTTCCAGAGAAACACGTGAGATGATTTTTATATGAAGAAATTCAATATATATACATATATAGCAGTATTATCAATACATTATTATAAAAACTAAACCCGTAACAATTTCTTTTCACGTAGCATAACAACTTATAACAAAGAATTTAATGATATTTATCTTTTGAATAATTCTTTGAATACTTTTAAAACCAAAATCGCAGGAAAACTTCACTTACAACATATTAAACAATTTGATGTTTTTCTTCTCTTTTCGTTTTTTAAAAAAATGTATTAGTGACTAAAATTATTTTTTTTATTTAATTTTATTATTTACTCTTTATTTAATAGTTTAAGATATGTATCTGTTTAGATGACTTTCGCCACTGTTTTCAAACTGATGTTGTTTATGTATATATATATTCTAAATGTATTCAAGTTTGGACACTCCTTGTCTTAATGTTACTTAATTTTAGATCATTGTAGTTTTATATTAATAACTGTTTGTGTCAAAATAAAGAGCAAAAAAAATTATGTTCCAGTGTTCGTCGCGGTTCCGTTCGTCTGCGCGACTTAGGTGTGTACGGGCGCGAAGGGGACGGCGAGGACCCCATGTCACAGTCCATGGTGGAGCCCGAGGTACTCCGCCCCGCGCCGCTCAGCAGGGTGCCTAGCGCTCCGGGGAGTCTTAGGTGATATACCAATCATACTACTAGAGGCTATACTTTTATATTTATTTAAAATTAATACCAGCTCATTATCAGTGACCACATTTACTACATCTCAAGTATACATACGATTTACTAATATATGAATTAAAAGTCCCTACACACCATATGTCATTAGTATTCCAATAGCAATTATAATGGAATCTCCAAACTCGCCTACATATTCTTGTAAATCAGTTCCTCATGTATTCTGTCCCCCTTCCCGCCCCCAGAGGTCTCCAGCCGGCGGGGTCCCCCCTCTCCCCGCGCCGCGCCCCCGAGAGCCCCCGCCCCGCCCGCAGGCCCCCCGGACTCACCAAGCCAGCGTCCTTGTACGTATTATTATAGTTTTACTTGATATAAAGGAATTCTTCAGATAAATTAGTACACGCTTTGGATGCGTTAATTAGATTTAAGTAGATAGATATGGGTCAATGTGAAGGGTTCTTTGTATATCCACTAGTAGTTAGTAGCCGCCTGCATGCCGCGGCTTGGGTTTATGTGCTGTAAAGTTATACTGATCTGTTTGTAAATAATATTATCACACGATTGGTCTGTATTATTGTTAAATCACTATTTTGGATGTAGTGCAAGCAAGTGTTTATTACATCACGACTCTTACTATAAGTCTACACGACAGACTACATACGGAGCGTTACAAGTGAGTTAAACGAAAATTTGAAATTTAGGTATTCGTATTTAGTCTATCGATGCAGACTCATTATACGGACGTGTAATGTAATATGGAACCAAAAATAAAATACTTTCTAGAATGTTATAATGTTTTATATTGTCACAATATATATAGAAATGTATATAATATCGCTCGCTAGTAGCTAGCCCCGTAGTTCCCTGTGTAAGGCGTGTGTTATCTTGCAGCCTGCTCACCGACCTCTCGATAGTCGAGGACTGACGCCGTCCGCCGACCACACAACACTCCTCTCGCATGATACTACTATACAACAGCTTATGTAGCTAGACACGTGTTGCATGTACATGTATATATATATATAACATGATATGTAACAGCTTTAAGTAGAGCTAGACACAGCTTGGAACACAGCTCGATGTAAGCTAAGCGCACAATAAATGTTTTAATTGAATCTGTGTTTGTTTGCACCCGGACATTACTTATTTACCGTTTCAATGTTTCCCCCACCTCAGCCTTGTATTGGATAGTACGATGTAAGTGACACATGGCTACTATTATGGATTCCAGTGTTAGTTAAACGAGATGTTGTATATGAAAAACATCTTAAATAAAAACGCTTTATTATTTGTTAAAGTTCTAAGAAAATAAAGTAAGTAAATATTCCCACGTATATAAGCCATCTTCATGTTCATGCACTGTCTTCATTTTGTTATTTAGTTTTATTTTTATTTTATTCATCTGTGCTGTAACGAGACGGTCTTAACTTGTAATAACGCTTCAGTATATTTGTTTGTTAACAGTCCACGCGGCCATATCATAGTAATATATCACGTCACCGTCATATAACAGGTCATTTGTATGGTGAATATAATAACTTCCCCCTCTACTCCATAGTGAGCCGGAAGGTACTCCGCCCGCGTCCCCCGGAGCCACGCGGCGGGCCCGGGACGACGACGTGTTCCTGAGACTCACGGGCGCCGCGCCCGACCACGCGCCGCAAGGAACTGTCAAGGAAATCACTGTTAAAGTACGTACTGATTATACTGAAACATATAGTATTACTAGAAGACCCGGCGAACTTCTTATAGCCCTATAATCAAGAAATATCTGTTACGTTTTTTTAATAAATAAATTTAGGTTATACCTTAGGGTCAGAAACAAGTGGTGGTTATGCAATTATTAAATAGTCGCTCATATATGATGTTTGTATTTTTAACATAGCGCCATCTATTGAATACTTAACTCAGTCAACAGATAATTGTACTAATGACAAATAATATGCAATAAAATAATATTGTGACTATAAATTGACACGTAAGCTATCCTACCTTTCAAGTTGGATCAAAATGCACACGGAATGCAAATCAAATTTAAAATTGGTTGAGTAGTTTAGGAGTCCATCGCGGACAAACACGTGACACGAAATTTTTATATATAAAGATAAGCAATACTATATGTGTTATATTAAATGACTTGTCAGCGGTCGAGTGTGGGCGCCGGCAGCTGGCTGCAGTGTACCCACGTGGCGGAGGGTCACGTGGGCGCCGCGCTCTCTCTGGCCGTCACACCGGACGACGTCTACAGTGGGGGGGTCGGTGAGTGGAATATGACGACTGTATATTAAAAGAAAACACTCCATATAAATATTTGAATGGAATATTCATCGACGTGGGATTCGAACCTTCAATCCAAGCCACTATTTTCATAACATTAGATTAAATTAAAATATATTTGAGTATTAGAGTATTCAATGTCCTCTATCCAAAGGTTGTCGGGAAGAGATCGCTCTTTTAGCGATAAGACCGCTTTTTGTACCGTGTTTTCTATTTTGTTGTGTTGCTTCTTGTATTTTTTTTGTTTCGGTGTACAATAAAGTATGTTTATCTTTATCTTATCTTATATTTGTCCAGATCGTACAGTCCGCGGCTGGGACCTGTCCGCGGGTGTTGAGTCTTGGCGCGCGTGGTGCGGAGGTGCTGTAGTGGGGCTGAGTGTGAGCGGGGGCTCCGACAGGCTTGTACTAGCCGCGGCCGGGGCTGCGGTTAAGATCTTTGACACTAGAACCAACCAGCCTACTGCTGTACTATGGTATATCATATAAAAAGCATTTTTTATCTCAGTGCTTCAGATAAAAACTCTTGAAGTATTACTGTATGGATAATTTTTTTATTTAAAACAATATTGAGATACAACTTGAATGATATTCAACCAAACACCCGTAGAACATGACATTCCAGAGGTCGAGGATCAATGTGTTCGTTCTACATCTTCAATGAATCTTAATTCAAGTTTTACACTATTGTTACATGTATATAGTGAAGTATTATTATTTATTTAACAATTTTATCTGCAGGTCGTCGGGAGCGTCCGGTGTGAATGCCTCCGTCCGCGGCGGGGAGGTGGCCGTCACTGCTCTGTCCCTGGCGTCCGGTCACACGCTGTACACGGCGGCCGGGGACAAGCTGAGGCTGTGGGATCTGAGGATGTGAGAATAGCAAACAAATTTACACTAAAATATACACTAGAAACGAACTGGCCGAGAAAAATATACATACATATACGTAAATCTACACAGAATCTTCTTCTTCTACCTGGCAATTTCCCAGCTTCAGCCAGGGTCTGTCTTACATGTTGTGAATAGTTTTGGCTAATTGTTTTTACGATTGGCCGCCTGCCTGACATCAAACATCTTTGGAAATCAACCCTCAATCAACACGTAAAACTACACGGAATATGGGCATAATTTGTGATGTATTTAGTTATGTTGATCTATAAGCTAGCCTATTGGAAAGTTCCATCAAACTTGGTTCACTATATGTAACACCAGAGTAACACACACCCCCCCCCCCTCTCAGGTTGGAGTGCGTGTACAAGACGTGGTCGGGTCACGCGGCGGCCGTGATGTGCGTGGCGCGGGAGCCGCTGCCGGCCGGGGACAGGCTGGCCACCGGCTCCAGGGACCACTGTGTCAGGGTCATAGACCTGCAACACAACGCTGGTGACTATCACATACATTGATAAGTAACAGATATAAATATGACCGTTTTAAGTACTTGAGACGAGAGTGGTTAAGTAAGAATTAACTTTATTATAAATTACGTATATTTTCCTTCAGTTTTAATTCTTAGATAAATGTACATACTGCGAGTATATAATAATATTTAATAACATATGTATTTCTTTTACCGAAGATGTTTCTATCAATCCATATACCTCCTATCCTCCAGGTTCGTGGGAAGCGTGTAACCGTCGTCTCCTGGAGCCCCCTCACTACGACGGGGTCCAGGCGCTGCTCCTCCGCGGCTCGTTCCTGTACAGCGCGTCCAGGGACTCCAGCCTCAAGTGTTGGTCGCTCACAGACAACACGCTCACACATGTACAATATAATACATATATATATTTTGACTAGATAGAGGTAGACTAAGATTCCATCTGTTAGTAGGTGGAAATAAAGTGAACGCACTATATCAGTATTAGCATATTCATCATTCTCTTGAAGTTAACCAGATTGTAACTGGAAAAAACATATGTACATGGCTTTAATTTAAGGCCAAACAAAACCTTAAATTAAATTTTATATAACTGAGACAGTACAGCGATACTCAATAAAATAATATCAGTTAGTGAGAAGCTATGTTCAGATATTATTATAAACAAGAGTATCAAACAGTCCTGTCTCTACATGACTATAGTTAACACTCCTATATACTCGTGTCTCCAGAGCGTGATGAACGCTCACAAGGGCTGGGTGACGGGTGTGTGTTCCCTCGGCGGAGGCCTAGTGAGCTGTGGCCGCGACCAGGCGCTCCGACTGTGGAGCTCCGCCCTGCGACCCGCCGCCAGCCCCGCCGCGCTCCCGGACGCGCCGCACGCACTCGCCGCGCACACGCACGCGCACGGACACGCAGTGTACACCGCTGGCAGGTACTACTTCACACATACATACATACATATATACACTTAGATCGACTGAGGAATAATTCAACCAAAGTTTCATACAGACTGCTCTAGATGTAGTGACGACTATCGGTCTTTAGCAGACTCCGCCTTGACCTCATGTTATATAAATGTGTAGGATAGTCTAAACTGTTCACACTATAATAATTAGCGTGAATACTTCTAATATGTGAGTATGTTGCAGCGGCGGCGAAGTGCGAGCGTGGCGCCTGGTCAACGAGCCCTGAACGACACAGGTGCACACACACACACACACGCGCACACACAAACATATAAATATATACACACACTACACGAAGCATACACACCACAAGCACATTCTACAACACACACAAAAACAGTGAAACCCGCCACAGTGAGCGCTGCAGACACACCGCAGACCTCTCTAATGTATCTCCGTCCCTCTCTCTCTCCTAGTATCCCCTCTCTCCATCTCTCTCTCTCTCAGCCGGTAAGTCCGCCGTCCGTCGTGTCTCTGCACGTCCACTCTGACTGCTTGCACACGTCGCCGCTTCATCACTCAATAACAGAAGCTTAGCTGATTTGAACTCTATTACCCAACACATTAGAAGTGTTTTTTCCTTGTATCTTTTGTATGTTTCTCGTGTGACTAACCACTTCTTACTTTATGTTCATTTCTGCTTTCGTTGTAGTGATCTCTGGTCACGGTTTACGAGTTCTAGTTACCTTATTGTTATAACAATAATTATAGTTCAGTTTGTTTTTCTTCTTCCTGTGATGATTTTAGAAAATTTTATATACTCAGTATGAGTCACAATTAGCTTTCAATATATAGATTCGATTTCTTTTAGTCTGTGACATTTTATATTTGTTTTTTTTCTTAACATACATAGCTTTTACTTCCATATGTAAACATTACTGCATTGAAAATTATCTAAACAACTAATTATACCCGTGACTTTTTCGTTACTCACTATAAACTATTATATTAAATTTTCTAATTCATCCTTTTTTTACTCGATTGATTTTGCTTAAAAAAGTGACATGATGTGCATTAAACTCGCTGTCAGTATTATAACATGTTATATATCCATATATCATCTGTATTTGTAACACATCGTCTGTTTTCAGTTCGGGTCGTGTTCGTGTGTGGGTCGTCCGCAGCAGGTGACGGTCGGTGGGGGCGTCCTCCGCGCCGCCCTCCCCCGCACGCCGCGCCTGGCGGTGACGTCACACGTGGACCACCTCGGATGACGTCACACGGCCACGGACCACCAGTGACGTCACCATCAAGTTAACAAACAATGACGTCAACTCAACTCATTCCTTTTAATCTGTAGGACTCACCGAAGACGTCAGATGTGTACATTACAAAAACGTTCTAGGTGACTTTATTCGTGCTCAAACAATTGTTATAATAAAAAATTAATTGTGAAGACTTCGATAACTAGAAAGAATGGTTATAAATATAGATATAGATGTTTGGTCTGAAACGAATTTAACCCAGAGCAATACTGACATGACACGACCTTACAAACATGTTCGTACAAAGAAAACGTATGTAACAATATTTGTAGACTTTAAAACAAGATACTCTTAAGGTGATATAGTTCCTGGAACCTCGAATAATTGTTTAGAAACCCGCCTGTGATGAAATAAAGCGGTCACATTAACATTGGTGTCCGACAAAAGAGAATCCATCCTACATTACAATAAGGAACAAAAGACAATATGTAGGGATTAATGAACTCATGAAACGGCCTTTTAATGTATCTGTCTGAAAGTACGTAGTATCTTAGCGACACCTAGTGTCGAGTTATGGAAACCTTTTTAAGAGACGTTGAATATTTAAAACCCCAAGCCTGAGCCAAAAGTCACGCACAGAAAGTTTTTTTTAATTTCGAATTTGTATCAAATCATCATCAGTGTGTTATAATTTGCTAGTAAATTATGTTTTTGTGTATACATTGAATATTAAAGAATTAAAATGTATCATAAAAATAACTTTTATGCGATATATCGCATATTTTATAAATATTAATTTTTAATCGTTTCTGTCTTATATTATATTGACCGAACTATAAAAAATATCATAAATGAATTTTATATCATATTTAGTTCAGAATAATTTTCGCTTCAGACAAATCTCGTTTGAAAGGTAGATTTTAATTATGAAATGCATTGTCTATTGAGGCGACTGAATCGTTTCTATGTAGTACTGGACCTCATGTTGGGTTTGATAGCATGTGTATGAGAGTGTTATATAAAGACACGTCATTATTATTGAATAGTCTGTGATGAGTCGATCAATTATATTTTTATACATTCCTGTGTTACGGGTAGCCGGTACGATCCTTTATACGCTAGTTGTACGCAGCTGTAGTTAAGTATATCATTAATATGAACTGGAAATTATATTTTAAATGTATGCTTTATTCTAGATGTTAAATGTTGTATCTCAGGTACATCGAGGCTATGATTTTATTATTTCTTTTTACAGTATTATCATATATTGTTTTATAAATTATTTTTAAATCAGATTATTATTATTATTGAGTTATTTGAGGCTATGAGTAGTTGAATGGATTGAACGCTTCACACTAACGCATTGAAATGCTTTAAGCTTCTCTACACGTCATTGAAACTATATGATATTGAAGTATTATACGTGAACGTGCAAGTTTAAGTTACACGGTGTGTGGTCGCGTGTAGTAAGTTTCAGTTACTGTACTTTATGTTATATTAAGGTTGCTCCGCTCATGTGAATCTCTGTTTTTTATTTATCGATACAAAGTATATGTGAATGTAGTTTTTAATGCGAGGTTTCATTAATTAACATTATTATAATATTCAAGCCTGTTCAAGTGAACCAAAGCCGGACAAGTATTATTTTATGTATTGGACGTGTCGACGACACATCGCCTGCCTTGTTTAGTATTCAGTAAAAATTATAAGTTACATGTATTCATCATCAAATAAATTTGGGTTTTATGCAAAATATGTTATTTTATTTCCGAAATCGTTTTTGGTATGTCAGATAAAACACAAATAATAATAAACAAATTTTTGAAGTTAAATTTATTTTATTACAAAGATACAGTAGTCCATTACTCTATGTTACTACTATCTAGTACTAGTACTTATATTTACTGTGCTTCGCGTGTTTCCTGTGGTGGGGCGGCGTGCTCGGTGACCGTCTCCGTCTCTCCCTGTCTCTGTCTCTATCTCTGTCTCTGTCTCGTTCTCTATCTCTGTCTCTTTCTCTCTCGCGCTCTCTATCCCTATCTCTATCTCGAGATCTCTCTCGTTCTCTATCTCGTTCACGTGATCTCGACTTTGATCTTGATTTTCTATCACTGAAAAAATTGTTTGAATGTCAATGTTTACTATTGTCAATTTCAACATACACATAAATAAAAATAATAACTATCAATTTTTGTGTTCAAAAAAAATTCTCTATTTCTCACAGCTTGGAAACATTTATGTAATGACTTCAGAAAAGTCAAATTTATTACAAATTCATTGGATCCAAAATTTGATTGATTAATAGCAGTTAATTAGAAGGAAATCATCGGCGAAAATATACTTCATCAGTCTATAACAAAGTATATAGGTTCATAATAAATACATTGTATATTTGTTGAGTATAAGTAAATTGTATAATCTATTTTATATTGTTAATCTGTGTGTCAAAAGTCGTATCATAGCTATGTCGGTTGAAGGTTGATCAAATATACGGAGGTCTTTAAAAAAGGGTTTTATTTCATCTAAATATTTTAACAATATTAAGTATCCCACTCACCCGGCTCTGCTCCTCTTGCCGGGCGGGGAGGCGGACGGGTCGCGGGACTTCTTGGACTTCCTCGAGCTGGTGGAGTAGCTGTCCTCCTCCGGGGACAAGGGCTCCTCCGCCTCGCGAGCCTCCTTGGCCTCACGGAGGGCCTAATATAACATTTGACATTATATAATATTGTTAGCTGCTATTTTTTTGGGCGAACTCTCAATCTCCTGTCGTACATACAACATATCCAACAGTTTCTATGTAGTCAGTCGTACCTTCTTAATGAGTTTCTTCCGGTGGTGTTGTATCTGCTGCGCGTGCGCCAGGCCCGCCTTGCCCGGCCTGAGCCCCGCCTCCAGTTCGTCCGCGTACTTCAACACCCGCACCTCTATGTCCCTCAGTGTTTCCCTCTTCAGCGCCCCCTCACCACAGTCACCGCCAGCACCCGAGACACCCGTACTCGTGGACTGACTCGAACGATCCGCGTCAGAACTATGGACATATTAGAATTTAGTTATTAATTAGTCTATGTAGACATTAAGTACTATGTCCTGTGAGTTTGCCCTTAATTTGACTCATTATGGATATATTTTTAATATATATCTATAATAGTCCAAGAGAAGTTTCTCTTGGACTATTATAGATATATATTAAAAGGCAGGCAGTTGCCAGCCAGGCCTTCGTTAATTTATAAAAGCTGAAAGTTTTTCTATAGATGTACCCAATACAGGTAGACACGATGCCCACCTATGAAACTTCTGTCGCGGTGGCTTTGGCAGGTAACAGGTTCTAAAGGTGTTTAAAATTGTCTTTCACTTTCCTCATAGTATAAAATTCAGTTTTGATATATTTTCATCGTAATAACCTTAGAAATCACGCTGTCCATTGCCAGGCACTTAGTCGGGTGGGAACCCATACCAGGCACCCCTAAATTAAAAGCGCGAGCGCGAGGAACATATATCTGAGCGAGTGCGAGTGAGATAGTGCGCTAAGTCTATTGCGAGCTTCTACTGCGCATCAGCTGCCATTTAGCAATGTATTCTGTGTGAACTATTTTTTAAATTTAACAAAAAAAATCGTTACATAAAATTATTGAAGAAAGAAATATTAATTTTAGACAAATTATGCAGAAAAATATTCTTTTCAATAAGTTATTACATCAAAAATCTAACAGTTTCATCAAAACTGTTTTAAAAAATTCCAAATTTCATTTCAATATTTATTCAAGTTAGAAACACAATTTAAAAATATATATATATTTATATGGAAATATGTTCTAACTGCAGCAACAAATTATACAGGGTGTATGAAAAACTGTGTCAACCCTTGAAGGCACGTATACATATGTATAAGTATAAGCTTATTATAAAAAATAGTATAACTTAAAAAAAATCAAGCAGAAGTCAGTTACAGTGCATAGGCTAAGTAAGTTTTAAATCGACATTTTTCGAAAATATGTTCCAAACATCTGACTCATACAAGGTCAAGACACCGTATAGTCGCTACGACGCATGCGTGACCATTGACCGCAGGCGACGGGCCGCCGGCTTTATTATTACTATTCTGTTAGTTGTCGAATAGAGATTTGAAAGTGTAAAAATTAGTTATATCGATAAATATTCTATCGACATTTTCAATATTGGTATAAATAGTTATGCTTTTCACATTAAAATAATTTCATTTAAAATAACTTTTATTAATAATAAATATTATAATTTGAAACTTGTTCAGGTAAATTAACTACATATGTTGTATTATTAGGATAAATCGTTAATCTATTTCTGTTAAAAATGATGTTTTACAATCAAACAATATTAATGTTTGATATATCAAAATAAGTATCGAAATAATATGAATATTAAATATTTATTTATTGTTATGATTTTTTAAATATCGATATTCTCAATAATGTGAAAGTAACTTCAAGGTCGTCACTAGTAGCGCAGCAGCTGTGATGACGTCATTGCGTGTCATCGTGTTATACCAGGGTTTACAAACATTTTGTTACTTTACATATAATAATCATTTAATATTTAATTTTATTATTTTTATTGAAGAGTTTGTAAATGTAAGTTGTTTTATTGTGTTACATTATCGATACTGATAACGTAGTTAAGAGGGTTGACACAGTTTTTCATACACCCTGTATTTAGAACCATCTTTTCGCTCCATGACGGATCTATATAACACATACAAAAAGTATTGTTCAGAAACCGAAGAGCCTACCGTCTGTATGTTTACATTTGAAAAAACATTTAACTAGAAAAATTTGTCCTAAGTAACTAAATTTGTCTCCTAAGTAACTAAATACCTATAAAATGTAAATATGAACATATCCATTCGTAACTTATAAAAAGGTAATGCATTAGAAACTATTTTACTATCAAGGTTGATCAAAATAAATAAAATCTTCTTTTTAAACAGTTTTTTTCTTCTGATGTAAAATAAGATTCTCGACACTTAGGGGGATTGGTACTTTATTGATGATATGTCCCTCGCGCTCGCGCTTACGGAAGATTTTCAGTGTGTCTGGTCAGGTAAAAGAACCATCGAAACTGCCTGACTACTGAGCAAATATAATTTAATACTTTCCTCAGTAACATATATAAAAATCAGCTTATATATGTACTATAACGAAAGTACAAATAAAATTACTTATAATTTAGGGGTGCCTGGTAGGGGTTGCCACCCGACTAAGTGCCTGGCAATGGACAGCGTGATTTCTAAGATTATTACGATGAAAATATAACAAAACTGAATTTTATACTATGAGGAAAGTGAAAGACAATTTTATACACCTTTAGAACCTGTTACCTGCCAAAGCCACCGCGACAGAAGTTTCATAGGTGGGGATCGTGACTACCTGTATTGGGTACATCTATAGAAAAACTTTCAGCTTATATAAATTAACGAAGGCCTGGCGGGCCCTGGCTCTTGCTCTATAAGGTATAAATGATTTAAACAAAATTATTAATGAATAGTAAAGTATCATAAGGCACTCAAATTTCAAGTAGCTAATCACGAATGAATCTTCATTTGTGTCGTAGTTTTGATTAATCTACGATGGATTTATAATGTTGTGTGTGTATATATGTCACCTGTCTTTACGCGGCGAGTCTTCCCTATAGTGTGAGGAGGGCGCGGGGTCTACACTCTCCCATCGCGAGGGCACGAACGCGGCCGTACTGCGAGCCACGTTGGTCCCCTCGGCCGCTGAACACTCCTCCGTGTCGAGGGGAACACCGTCTATGTCTTCGTCGACTGGAATAGTCAACTAAATATCAATAATTAAACCGAAAACCAATGTTCTAATTATTCGGTATAACTTTAAAATTAAGAATGAATGCATGGAAATTTTTGTCCACATTATACAATGAGATCTAAGATTTTCGTGAGTACTCATTTAAATGAAACTAATATTTTCGGATTTACTACGCGTTTTTTATTTTTGACTATAAACTACATACATAGCAATCGTGATCACATCTCGTCTGTCCATAATCACGGTTGCTGTAAAGTAGCCGAAACGTAGGGAGTATGTAGTAAGTAATATCCGAAAATATTACTTTCATTCACATTATACAATTTCTCTTTGGTATTTAAATTCATAATAAACTTGCTTAATCACGCGAGGCATTAAAGATATTACATATAGTTATGTCACATTGGGACACAGCTCGACCAACCAGCAGAGCCTCCCTGTTAATAGACGAAAATGTGCCGAATTCGTTGCGGAATATCCACAAAAGAATTTAAATCATTGAAAAAAGGGCAATTAATAAAAAAGAGCTCAAAATTCTTTGGCAAGGGTTCCTGTTGTCGTCTGTAAATCGTATACCAAAAAAAAGGCAGTCAGGTAGAAGGAGAAACTCCAGTTTTGAAAGAGTTTGTAAAGCTTTTTTATTCCGGTCTCATCATTATTAAGTTAGTCGTCAACGGTGCGTTAAATGGTGGTTGTATTGTCCTTCAACGAAGGTAGCTATTAAACATGTTACTGAAATAACGTTCTTGAACCATGTTTACGAGTTGTGATCGACTTGATTTCGCAAACACTTCAGTACCATAGACACTTAGGTCACATTCACAAACTTCGGTCAATTAATCAAATTCCAAGACTGATTAATATAATTAGTGTCTGAATATAGAGAGCATAGAATAACACCCTTCAACAGAACAGACGACTATTGAAGTGAGAAGAGTTGAGACGCTTTGAGCGGAGACTTTAAGGAGACGGAGAGTTTATTTTGAATTACACTGCTGTTACTTCAATGTACGAATGAAATATCAGCACATTGAAACATTAAGATAGAATGTAAAATCATTACAATCACATACCCGGTACACCATCAATATCATCGTTAACCTCCTGCCTCATGTTAACGTGTGCCGGTCTCTGTTCCGCGAGTCTCCTGAGCGCGGCTCCGTCTAACGGCCCGGAGCCCCCGGAGCCCCCCGAGCCGCCAGAGGCGCCCGAGGCGGAGGACCCCGGGGACGCGTTACCGTCCTCCTCACACTCCTCACGGTCTGCTTCTAGCTGACGCGACTCGCCCTCCTGTTATAGACATAAACACGTAGAACTATATATTATAGTCCGTTTGATTTAAACTGAGCTTTGCATTTGTGTGAGTGAAAGTAAAAGTAGAGTTAGACAAAAAACTTTTGGAATTCAATTCTATTATATTTAAATAGATACATAGCAAAAGTGCGAGAGTTATTCTAGATTAAAAATAAAATAAGCGAAACATGTAAAAGGCTAAATGGAAATATTATGGAAAAAAAATTATTAGGTAATAAAATTTTGAAAAAACAATACAAATTTTTCTTCACTTGACATTGCGTTTTCATATTAAATGCTAGGAGCGATGAGACCTTGTCCTAAGTCTAACGGACCGTAGCAACCTATGAAAGGATTCGCGTATTAAATGCTAGAAGCGATGAGACCTTGTCCTAAGTCTAACGGACCGTAGCAACCTATGAAAGGATTCGCGTATTAAATGCTAGAAGCGATGAGACCTTGTTCTAAGTCTAACGGACCGTAGCAACCTATGAAAGGATTCGCGTATTAAATGCTAGAAGCGATGAGACCTTGTTCTAAGTCTAACGGACCGTAGCAACCTATGAAAGGATTCGCGTATTAAATGCTAGAAGCGATGAGACCTTGTCCTAAGTCTAACGGACCGTAGCAACCTATGAAAGGATTCGCGTATTAAATGCTAGAAGCGATGAGACCTTGTTCTGTCCAAGGAACACGTCGTTGATGTGCATCAAGAAGTCCGTGGGGTAGACGGCCCAGTCGGCCCAGGCCTGCAGGATGCGTGTGACGCGCGCACGGAACCCCTCCTGCTGCATGCGGGACGACATGCGCGCCCACGCCGACCGACACTCACGCATGATGCCCACCAGGCGAGACTGGAAACTACATTTACTATACTAAAAAAAATGTTTGATATAAACTGATACGTATTTCTTAATTTTACAATTAAGCTTAAGCTTTACACTTTGAATGCATGTAATCGTGAATATTCTAACTGCTTTTAATGATCGTGGAAGGTTCATATATAAGTCATTCACCGATATTACGACTAATACAGATTACAAAAAAATATTTAGCTATATAATAATGTAGTATATATGTTCCTCACGCTCCGCGGTATGCGCTGGCGTTGGTCAACTTGGCCCCAGCGTTGTGTAGTATATCCGAGAGTAGATATAGTCGGGCCACTCTACGCGCGGGCTCTGTCTTCGGCTGAGCCAGCGCCTCGGCCAGACAGCCCGCCACCTCACCCGCCGCCTCCGCGTGCTCCAGACACCACGCCATGGCCTCGCCCACGCTGCGCCGCGACGGACATAAGTTACGGATCAGCTCCTCGAGGCGGTCGCGCTGACTACAAGAATACACCATATGTACATTGACTGGAACGATTTTGATGAATTTCTTCGTGTGTGTTCAAGGGGATCTGGGAATGGTTTAGATTCACAATTTTGTCCACTGGATAATTTTTTTTTGATTAATTTTTAATTTATTAGTAGCTGTTGATACCAACATTTTTTTTTTACATTAGATTTGACAAGTAACTAATATGTCAATCATTCTGTCGCACTTCAAAACACGGAGATTTATGGCTTTAATAGGTAAACTCCAAAAATATAAATAAAAAAACGTAACAGATATTTCTTGATAATAGGGCGATACGAAGTTCGCCGGGTCTTCTAGTATATGTATATAGTACCGGTTAATTGTATATAGTACAAGCTAATGTAATTCTTATTGCATCACCTTATACAGTGAATGTCTTGTCAATTTGAATTCAACTATTTCAGAGATTAGACGGAACAAAAATGTTTAAAATATTATTCTGGCATATGAATATAATGAAGTTGCTGTTTTATATGTATGTGTGTGTGTGTGTGTGTGTGTGTGTGTGTGTGTGTGTGTGTGTGTGTGTGTGTGTGCGCGCGTTACTTGTTGGAGAGCGTGCCCCGTATGTTCTCCTTGGCGTCCTCCTCGTCCACCAGGTCGTCGGGCATGCCGGCCGTGTACAGGTTCATGACGGGCGGACGCCACACGGAACCACCTAGAACACAACAATGGATATGACGTCATCACAGGATATGACGTTGAGGAAGACGAAGGGGTGAGAACAGGGAAAGAGCAACCGGCCCTCTCACTCATGGACGAAACGCAGCCATTAAAGACTAACTCACGCTGATCTTCTGTAAGATGGAGGTAATTCCCCGGTCGAGCCAGCCTATGTTCGAGCTGTAGTAACTTGACCACAGCTAGGCTCCATCTCAAAAACCTACCCATTAATATGTATACCTTTGAACATTCTAAAGTCCTCTAGGTTCCATGTCTTAGGCGAGTCTCCCTGCAACATGGAGAACAGTTTCCACCGGTAGTACACGTGTGCTGGCGACTGGTTCTCGAACAGGAACCGGAAGTAGGGGTTGTTCATCTCCTTGTTCATGATGATGGCCTCGAACATCGGACCCTCGCGGATCACGAACTCTACCATGCGGTGGATCAGCATCAGGATGTTCCTGGAGTTTGAATATACAAACATTTATATCATCTGTCAATATATTAGTACTTAACAAATATATGAGACTAAGTATGTAATTGTACTCTTGTGTATGTGATTACCTTTCAGTGGGAATAACGACTTTCACTATGGACTGGGATAATATCTGAAAATACAAAGTGTTGGTTATACATATAAACAAAATAATAAGATGTGTTCACGTTGAAAAGATTAGATTAAGGGAAATAAACAATTTCTGACAAGTAATGCAAATAAATAGCGATCCTTAGAACTATTTTTCATACAAAATGTATCCATACGTTAAAAAATAATTCTTGGAACGCAAAATACCCACATATGTATATGGTTTGCATTCGATTTTTATGCAATTACACGATGACTTCTATTAACAATACTATAAAATATATCATCTATATATAAAAGACAGTCGTGTTAGTTACTCCACTTATAGCTCAAGAACGGCTGAACCGATTTAGCTGAAGATTGGCAGGGAGGTAGTTTAGAGCCAGGAAATTGCAATAGGATACTTTTTATCCCGTTCGACAGCATTCCCGTGGGACTTGACATGAAACGTCAGTCACTATAAAACGTGGAATAACGAAACACAATTGACAGCTATGCAATTGACGTATAATTACGTAATTATGACAATTAGATATTTGTAAGAGATCTACTATATAAAAATAAATCAGCTTTTCCATTCTGAACGCTATAACTTCAGAACGAACGAACCAATTTTCACGGTTTTGCATTCGTTGGAAAGGTCTCGGGCTCCGTGAGGTTTATAACAAAAAATTTCAACAGAAAAGCGGTAAAATCTTTTTTCACATACAGCGCCATCATAACATATACTACAAATCAATATTTTAAGTAGATGGTGCCGGTGCATGATACATTGTTTGACAGCTACTCATTGTTCTCTGCTCAGTTAATTTCATGTGACAAACTGGTATTGTGTTTGTAGTTTGAACTCTTAAAACCATTTAGTATTTGCGAAATAAATTTAGAAAATCATTGTTTTTCACATGGGCAGTTATATTTTGCGTGTTCACGAGTTTGGAAACCATCCGCTTTATTTGTGTTAAAGTTAGACCAAAAAACAAAACATGTGGTTTACAAAGAAGCACTTCAATGAAACGGATAATAATTTGCGGACACGTATAACGCTTCGATTTGGTATCTACTTTGGATTCACTTTCATTTACTTAGAGAAGTTCAACTAAATAACACTTCATTTTTGTGATCGAAATGAATTCATTACTGTTTTGGAATGAAATAAAAATTTTCCTTTTCAAATATAAAACAAAACAAAATTATTCATCTTTTAATCACCAAACGAAAAGTTATATAAAAGTATTCTGGTGGCGAAACGGAGTTCGCCGGGTTTACTAGTTATACAGGGTGTATGAAAAACTGTGTCAACCCTTGAAGGCATGTATACATATAAGTATAAGCTTATTATAAAAAAATAGTATAACTTAAAAAATATCAAGCAGAGGTCAGTTACAGTGCATAGGCTAAATGAGTTTTAAATCGACATTATTCGAAAAAATGTTCCAAACATCTGACTCATACAAGGTCAAGACACCATATAGTCGCAACGGCGCATGCGTGACCATTGACCGCAGGCGACGGGCCGCCGGCGTTATTATTACTATTTTGTTAGTTGTTCGAATAGAGATTTGAAAGTGTAAAAATTAGTTATATCGATAAATATTCTATCGACATTTTCAATATTGCTATAAATAGTTATGCTTTTCATATTAAAATAATTTCATTTAAAATAACTTTTATTAATAATAAATATTATAATTTGAAACTTGTTCAGGTAAATTAACTACATATGTTGTATTATTAATCTATTTCTGTTAAAAATGGTGTTTTACAATCAAACATAATATTAATGTTTGATTTATCAAAATAAGTATCGAAATAATATGAATATTAAATATTTATTTATTGTTATGATTTTTTAAATATCGATATTCTCAATAATGTGAAAGTAACTTCGAGATCGTCACTAGTAGCGCAGCAGCTGTGATGACGTCATTGAGTGTCATCGTGTTATACCAGGGTTTACAAACATTTTGTTACTCTACATATAATAATCACTTAATATTTAATTTTATTATTTTTATTGAAGAGTTTGTAAATGTAAGTTGTTTTATTGTGTTACATTTTCGATACTGATAACTTAGTTAAGAGGGTTGACACAGTATTTCATACACCTGTATATATAACAAGGAAAAAAATTTTTAACACAGTCTGCTTACATATAAACTTATTCCTAACCCTTATACATTCCTTCCTGCTATTACGTAACTGATATAATTATTTTAACACCTAATTGTCTTGATAGTCGCGTCTTACTCTAACTATATAACAATACGCACCTGATCGTACAGTTGTTTGTCCCCGGCGTCGCTCGGGTAGTATTCACCGGGACGGATCCGCGGGATCTGAAATGTGATTTGAGATGAAAAAACATATATATATATATATTAAGTACTACATAATGATTACAAAATAGCATGTAAATACATTCTTATACATGGAGGTTTCTAGGCTAATTCTTCACAAAGCTTATTCATACTTGTATCTATTTGACACATACTCCGTATGTTACAAAGTAATTACCTTGTTAGCGAGATGCCTGGGCGGCTGTGCGTTGAAGGGCAGTCCGGAGGGCGGGGGAGGCTTGCAGGGCTGCTGCAGGGAGGGCGGGATGTAGATAGGCACCGGAGGAATCACCACCGCCTTGCCCCAACCCAGCTTCATCTCATAGTTCATTATCTCCTTGCCTAATTAAATATCACACGTATCAAACATTAAAGTGCAATAATGTACATTTATATGGTAAATTCTGTATTACAATTGTGGCTATTTGAAAAAAACGATGTATAATAATTAATGGGACAATGGTTTAAGAAAAAAACTTCACTCAATTCTCATATACAGGTAATAGTTGTTTGTAATGTGTATTACCATTGATGCACCGCAGCGCCCTCTCTCCGTCTTTCCTACTCATAAACGCCACAAAGCCACAGTTCCTGCCGCGCGCCTTCTCTTCGTCCGAGCGAGGCCACATGATCTTGATGCTGGCCAGCGGACCGTAACGACCGAAGATCTCCATCAACTGCTGCTCCGTTATCTGCAATATATATATAATGTTAGGAATATATACCTATATAAAACTTAACGCTTAAGAGATGTAAAAATCTTATAAAATGCAATAATGAATGGTCTGTTTTAAATATGTTGATGATTATGTTATACGATCACACTGTAAAATAATTGACATGTTTGAAATTAGCTGCTTTTTTATGACAAAGGGGGCAAAGGAACAGACTTCTACTTGATGGAGGTAGTACCATCGCCCATGGACATCCACAACATAGTTTTACTAATGCATTGTCAGTCTTGAATTGAGAAAAGATAGGAAAAGAGAAAGGGCAACTGTCTCTCTCACTCATCGGACGAAACGCAGCCATTATAGACTGATTCACGCCGATCTTCTGTGAGAGAGTGGTATATCCCTGGTGCCAGCCTATATTCGAGCTGCAGTAATTCTACCACAGCTAGGCTCTATCACCTATATCTCTATCTCTCTCTCTCTCCCTACCTTCGGGTTCAAGTTCCCCAAATACAGGTTGGTAGTGTTAGGGTCGCCAGTATCGTAGGACCCCACGTCGGGGATCACATCCATCACTGGTTCTGGACCCACCACTCCTCGGTCCCGCAGCACGTTCTTATACTTGTGACGTTCCGAACGCTCCTCTTGAATCCTGAAACATTATACATAAACTAAGTCTCCGATGGCATTCAATCTATGAACCACATATAGAGATCTGGATGTATTTAATGAGAGGAATCTCACAGAGATAACGAGTCATTTTAACGGTATTGAAGCTGTCTTTAATAATAAATAACAATAAACTAAGAGCACTGCACTTCTGTAGTAGTATTGTAGTGGGAAATTATTTTTAATTTATTCTTATGTAAAAAATAGAATTGATTGTAATTATCTTTAATACCTACTAATATTATAAATGCGAAAGTAACTCTGTCTGTCTGTCTGTTACGCTTTCACGCCTAAACCACTGAACTGACTTTAATGAAATTTGGTACAAAGATAGAGTTGACCTTGAGAAAGAACATAGGATAGTTTTAATCCCAGACTTTTGAAAGGTTCTCTTGGAAACTCGATATAACAAACTCCGCGCGGGCGAAGCTGCGGGCGGAGAGCTAGTAACCATATATTGAACCAACTGCCTGAGCTCCTCCTTGAACAGCTCCAGATTACTCTTCTTCTTGTCCCCGCTCTTCTTCTTGGGTCGTCCCGGCGGTTCAGACCGAGCCAGGCTTCTGACAACATCTGCCTCGCTGGCACTACGCTTCTCCTCCAGGCGAGACGTGGGCTTGTACAGCTTACCACGCTCTGATGTATCTTCCTCTATAAATGATAATTTATCTAAAGTTATATCTATTTGTTGGCATCTTCTAAGCATATTCGGTGAGAACAGGTAAAGTAATGATATCTAAAACTCGTGTGTATCCATTTAAAAAAACTAATATTGTCGGAATACTACGCGTTATTTTATTATGTTTAAAACTTTTGCAGCAACCGTGATCACAAAAGTAATCAAAACGTCGGGAGTTTGTAGTTTTAAAATAATAAAACAACGCATAGTCATCCAAAAGTATTAGTTTGATTTAAAAGAGGTAAATTTTAGAAGAATTTATAAATAAAAGATATTTGGCATTTTAATATAAATTATTTGATAACATTAACTAAATTTCTATAGTAATAATTTGCAATAATAATATAACATACTTCTTGCACCAGCATCATAAGTCCCAGCCTTGACCCAGACCTTGGATGTGGTGCTCGGCACTTCTTGGAATGTTTCAACAAATTCCTTGAATACCTGAAACATTAATATAAGAATTTAATATCATATCTATTACATAAAATGTACATTATAATCTCATTGTATAATAATATAATATATATAGGAAATAAGTTTTTAAAGCAAACACAGTAAATATTTTTATACTTTCCAAAGATAATTACCCGAATCAAATATGATAATTTGTGTATTCTAATTAAGAGTTCTACGACTTATTCTGACTGTCGCTTCAATTAAATCCTCAAGAAGTATTACTGAATATAATTTTCAGGTAATTTTAACAGTATTTGATAAGGATTGAATATATTATGAATAAATATTAAAATAATATTAAATAATAATTTTAAATATATCTTTTTGTCTCTTAGTAATATCTAAATAACGATATTGTACATCAAAATGGTCATATTTAATTCATTGTTTAGCTACAATATTAAAAAAGAAGTATGTTTTCTTATTTGAGCCGCATTAAATTTACAAGTCACATCCAACAACAAAATAGAAATACAGAAGACTTTTAAACATATTCAAATCATTGACAGTAAGTTGTTTAACTATACATTTCATTAAATGAAAACAAGATTTTTGCCTTCATCTATAAAACATTTTTAATCAGGATGTGTTGTTGAATCTAATGTTACACTGAATTGTATTCATCTAATAACAAAAAGACTTTAAATTTGATATTCATATTATTTAATAAAAATAAGTTGAGATCGATATTCTTCAATATTATAAATGGATCTCGATTTCAGTTTTGAAAAGGAAGTGTAAAATTTTAATTATTTTCTCTACTTACATGCGCCGCGGCTTCCTCTTCTTCTTTCTTCCTTAATTCTTCTATCTCCTTCTTAGATAAACCACGACTACTCATCTTGATTCTCTGCTTATTTTATGACATATAAATAAATTCACCAATTTTGCGGCATTATCGCGATGGCAGCTACTATTCAGTTTTATGACTTCTAAACCTCATATAAATTCATTTTAAATTATTATTTGCATGGGGTCATAAATTATGTCCTAAATCATAAGTAACCAATTTGAAATTAAAACAGCATAAAAACTTAGCCTCTGGTTATACTTGTACGCTGTAACCTAAAATTACAAATAAACAACTGTCAATTCTGAATGGTAATGACATTAACCACTACATTTTCAACAGATTAAAACATATCATAAAATTAGTTAACTGTGTTTCAATGTTTTAATTCAAATTCAATTTCATGTATATTCAAAATATTCTTAAATGTGACAGTTAATTAATATAGTTTATTTTAAATGACTCTAAATAAAATTTATAACATTTAAAAAGAAGTCATGAGTTTATTTCTTTATATTCTCTTGTCTATTCTCTAATATTTCAACGTTTTACCAGTGTTAAATATGAAAGCTAATATGCTTTATACATGTAAATTTCTTTAGTCTAATGACTGACGATCAGTTTCAGTTATCTACGTAATCTGTTAGATGATCCAGCTTTGAAAATTAGGCTTGATGTAGTTCGGTTCTTTAGGGCGATTGTACGGGCACTTGCTTGCTCATATACTTAATAAAATGATATAATTTTATTACACACTAGCTTTTGCCGCGACTCCGTCCGCGTGGAGTAGTGACTTCCGGCAGATTGTAGGTGGTAGAGGTGGTAGAGCCTAGCTGTAGTCAATTTACTACAGCTCGAACATGGGCTGGCTCGACCGGGGAAGTACCACCCTCTCGCAGAAAATCGGCGTAAAGTAGTCTTTAAAGGCTGCGTTTCGTCCGGTGAGTGAGAGAGCCGGTTGCCCTTTCCCTTTTCCCAACCTTTCCTTTCCCTCCCTTTCCCACCTTTTCCTCCTCCTTTTCCCCAATCAAGGGCGGCAACACATCCGCAAATCTAGTTGCGGATGTCCATGGGCGACGGTAACTACCTACCATCAAGTAGGCCGTCTGCTCAGTTGCCCCCTTTTCCCATAAAAAAAAAAAAAGATTTTTGGTTCTACTCACATAGTTTTCGGAAAGTTCGCAGGGTTTTCGGAATGGTCGAGTTCCCGTAGTGTTTTCAGGATAAAACCTATTTTTTTTGATTCACAACGAAGTACTCTTAACCAACAACATATTTATTTGTTTATTTGAATAAAGATTTTAGAAAATTATTTCGACCAAATTAGGTACTATAAAAACGGTTTTTGTGAGTTAATCTTAAAAGATAGACATATACTGTCGCGGATTGTTTTTTAGATCATTAAAAGAGCTATTATTCTTTAGTACATATTTTTTGTGTATCTTGAACCGTTTTCACGGCGCACGCAACGGAAGGCTTCAAAGATGAAATAATTTCTCCCGTTTTTTACACATTTACACAATACACCTGGTGACCGAATGCGTGCGATGCGATGATGCGTGTATTTACATGATCTCGTAATTATGTCGAGCGTAGCTCGTACAGCGATGTTAAAAATATCGAGGAACCTCAAAAAGTACATGAATCCTTATTCAATTATAGTTTAGAATATTTTAATGCCACTGGCAATTTTTTTATATCTACCAGTATATAAGAAACCTACTTAACAAATCATACTTACAATGGAAATTGTAGGGATTAATGGATGTATCGACGAAGGACATAGGAAAGACGAAGAACAAAGTAACAATGTATTGGTTACATATTTATTGAAAAAGTATACATCAAAAGTATTCGATGTAAAATTAAAAAAGTGTGTGTAGCGTCTCGCTTTTACAATTTTCATATTTTGGTAACGCCTAGCTTATAACGACTGTCGTGTTACATTATCTTCAACATTTTTAGTGAAAGAAAATCATTTCCGCTGATAGACCCGTAGCATTCAAATACATATGTTACCGCTCAGGTCCTTTGATCCGATACAACATACAGTACTTAAATAAACGTTATATAATACATAATACAACACATAATATAATGTACATGACCCGTCGTTGATTGTAAATAACCAAATAAACGGAATGTTGTAATAATATATGTTTGTGGGTTGCTGACTGTAACTAACTATATATAAAAATAAAGGTAATGTTGTTCCATAGGCGGCGAATACGTGAATAAAATGCATTAAATAAATAATTTAGTAGATAATTTATAAAATACTTGTTTCTTATGCAGATTTAACATTAATAGTAAAATATTTTGTGCATTACAAAGCTTATTCTACAAGTAAACATGCCACATAACTTACACCTTACTGTACAGTTGAATAATGTACATGCTCGACTATACCTCCCCTTTACAGTTTAGACGATGTACTTATATTTTATCTGTTTCATTTCATTTACATTTAAACATTTACATCTCACGACGAATTTCGTGAATTGTTAATAGAAACGTCGGCTTCAAACGACAGAGATGTGTGCAATTCCACACACCCAGTACAATGTATATATGTATGTATGCAAAACGACAAAATACATAAATATTTGAAACATGACAATTTCTATATTATACAAATTACAGTCACGCCGTTCATACATTCGTTACGAAGAGCAGCCATTGTTAATACAAATCAGTGGACGACTGGAAATTTAAAATTATAATTTATGTTGAAATTATAATAATTCGACGCGCTATACTTCACGGTTTTAAATTTCCAGTCGTCTGAAACATTGAAGGACAACTTTAAAAATCTTCCATCCGTCCATATAAAAAGTGTATTCATGATTTATAAAAATTTTAAACATCATTAGAGTGGGCGAGTTGACGCGCCGCTACCGTAAACAACATTAAGGTACAAAACACTAATCTATAAATGCACATTTAACAAACACATTGTACTATACTCGCTAATGAACCGCCGGGAGTTCAACGGAACGTAAACAACGTAACAAATAATATCTAGACTTGTACTCGTACATTTGATCGTTACATCTAGTTCAAATAATTCCTCACATATAATATACACCGAATATTACATAACATGATGTTCACGTGTACCAATGTTCGTGCACGGTCTGTGTGTGTGTGTATATCTCTGCGTGTGTGTGTGTCTGTGTGTTCAGGCGTCAGTGTCCGCTCCCTTCAGCCGCAGTCGAGCGAAGTCTTCGAATATTATATCGTCGTCTTGCTCTTGACCGTTCTCGTCTCTGTAATGAGAGGTTCCATGTTAGTCTGACATTTAAATATGAAAAAAAAGATTCTTGATGATTTCTTGATATAGAAGTATCGACTGCTTGGAATTTAGAGCTAGAGTCAAACTAAACTATTGTTTTATTACAACACGAGTTTGTATTGTCAAACACAACACGGAAGATTTTGAGTTCTTCATTCATAAATCACCACTGTGTTTCTAAGCTCATAATGTTGTTGAAATCGCTACCTAACGATAAGCCCGCCTTAGTGTGCATCTACTTTTATTTTGTATATATTTCATTTCTATTGTTAAATTACTATGTTATTGTGGTGTACAATAAAGTATATTATTATTATCTTCACAGATACTGATATATAGATAGTTTTAGCGTGAAGCTGTCTGTATTGAGTTTGGGCATATAAGCCTGTACTAAAGGTATATTCTCCTCTCATACCTGTGAGCTTCGTGTTCGTCGGGGTTGGGGTCCAGCTGTATGAGGTCGGGGTCTGCCCGCGGCGGGTCGGGCGCCGCGCGGGGCTCCTCCTCCGGCTTGGGGTGCATCAGGATGAACGGCAGCTCCGCGCTCAGCTCACTGGAACACACACACACACACATAAACATTAACATCTAACTAAAGGCACCATGTCCAAAATTGATCCGTTTATTTATTTCCTTTGTAACAAGATACATATATTTATCTTCTAGTTATAAGTGAATATGAAAAGTCACGAGAAACATGAACCGTTATAATGAATTTATTTGAAATTATTTTCCCAATAAACTTTTAGTCATTGTAAAAGAAAATCATCTAATGACATCAAAAACTATTTGAGTTCTAATCACAGATTAATCTTAATATTAATAAACGCCATCAATAGGTTGTGACGAACGGTAAAATAATTATTTATAAAATGTTTAAGGAATAGTATGCGTATGTTTCAAGTACAGGAAGTTTTCTCACCCGCCGAGTGGACCGAGGCACAGTTTGACCTTTACTTTGTACTGTACTATGATGCCTAAATTTTCACGCTGCGAAGGATCCGCGATACTAAAACAAAGAATTTATATTATACATATTTTAAGACTTAAATATGTATATGTGTGTATGCGCATGCACACGCGTGTGTATACTCACAGTGTACTGGACGCCAGGTTGGTGTCCTCATGTTTGAGTTGTCCGTCCAGAGCTAGTCCCCATTTGTCCTTATTGTTAGCGAGCAGTGGAGTCAGCGTGAACACCTTACTGAGGGTAAAACCTGGACCGACGGGACAGCCTTCCCTGGAAATAAAGCACTCTCTAATAACAATACTTTAATACACAAGCCGGGATGCACGCACCACGTGTTAATCGTGAATGTATAAACCAAAACCAACCTTGTATCTTAAGAGTTAGATTTCAAATTTTGAATAAACTACATAAATGCACATTCTCCATGCGCTGACACTTACACCGACTTTTTAAATTTCTTATTGTACGATCCGAAAAATGGAAATTTGATTCCCTTCCACACAGCCACTGCCCTGGATTAGAAACTTACAATTTATTTATTTCATATATATAACATTTGTTATGGAAACGAGATTAATTTTGATGGACAGTGGGTTTTTTAAAAATGTATCAAAATTTAAAATGATTACTTACAGTAAACATTGTTAGAAAACATAAATCTTTTACATAGAACAATTGTATTATTATTTTATATATATTTAACATTTAGTGATACCTGATTTATGTACTTGTTTATACAAATACATAAATCAGGTATCACTATCTCTTTCACTCATTAATACATCCATCTCTGTCGCACATCATATTCCTGGTAGTTCTTAGTATTCACTCACACACATACATCACTACTAGACATGCATTATAAGTATATGTCTATCATCCGGCACACGAACATATTCGCTAATGTGACCATCACTTTTTCACACGTACTATTTTATATAGCCGTCCCTCTCACACTGTATATCCATCGTTTTGTTTTACTTACACATCACTGTACAATATAGTAGATACAAACAGATGTACTGTCTTCCCTTCTAACTTCACCCACACACTCACATAAACACTCACTAAGTATCTCCATCTCCCTCCCACTCTATCACCACACATATCTCCGTCCCTGTCATACTCACTCGCTCTCCGCCTCAGCGACGGTGCACTTGTACTGAGCGGTTGAGAAGAGACAGATGTCAGCGAACTGCCTGACGGACACCTTGATCCTCTTTACTGAGCGGTTGGAGTTGTTCGCTATGTGGACGTTCACGGCTATGTTCTCACCGTGGTGATACAGCTCCTGGAAATTAAAAATACATATAAATTAATACTATTATTGTGTTTTGTCATTTGCGACGTATAAGAAAATTAATAGTCTCAAAACTGTCATGGATACTGAGATGGTCTCGTCAAGCTCATTTTATATTCGGTATTTAGATATAAATGACGTAATATATTACATTATATCTTAATTTTTTATATTGGTTTTTGATTTTGTTACTTTTAACAAGGAAAGTATTAATCTCAAAACTGTCGTTGAAACTGAAATAGTCTATCCTTGCTTATGTTATATTCGTAATGAGTGATGCCTGTATATAACAAGACATCAATGTTATGAACCTTATCCAGCGAAGCCTCCAGGTACAGTTTGTTGGGGCTCATCATGAACTCCTTGGACACCTCCACGGACGGCTGCTCGCCCTGCTTGCTCGGCGCGTACATTATCTTGCGTATGGCGAGACGGACTGAATTTCTGTAAAGATACAACAACATCAGCTGGTAACATGATACGTTCTTATAGTACATATAAACTGTTGCATGTTGCAACTGTTGCATTTGTAAGGCTTGTAGCCTTAGTCGCTGCGGTTCGTTCGGCGAGTGAAAGAGCCGGTTGCCATTTCCCTTTTCCCATCCTTTCCTACCTCTTCCCTTTTTCCTCCCCTTCCCATTTTTCCTCCCCCTCTTCCTAAATCAAGGTTGGTGACACATCCGCAATATGTCTTACGTCGCGTATGTCCGTGGGCGACAGTACTACCTCCATCAGGTAAACCGTCTGCTCGGTTGCCCTCTTTAACATAAAAAATATTTAAAAAATGATGACGTCATAGCCGGACCTTTTGTGAGGCTTGTCATCCTGGGAGTCTGCTACGAATGCTTTTAGCTCATAGTCCACGCCGCAAGGCTTGCCGGTGTCTCCGGGCGCAGGCTGCAGCGTGACGGAAGCGGGGCAGTGGGGGGGCAGCTCGAAGTAGAAGGGGTGCGCCGCCGGACCCAGCTTACGGACTAGACGCTCCTGGAGACGAGTCAAGGGACGCTTTGGACTGCTCGTGGGAGGATAGATCTGAAACATATACACATGTTAACACAAACGGACTATAGCTATGTTTTATATAGACTATGGACCATCCATAAAGTATGTCACACATTAATGGGGAGAGAAGGTGTCAGCGAAGTGTGCCATCATGTGATAAGGGGCATTCGGGGGGGGGGGATGGAATGTAATTTTGTGACGTTCTCATATTAAATTTTTTATACTTAGATTATAATTTAATAAAATTAAGTCAAAAATGATAAAAGCTATTTTCTCTTGATTATTTTTAAATAAAAAAAAAATCAGACTGACAAGGACAAGGAGTTCAAGGTTTATAAATTCATGTTATGTGACATACTTTATGGATGGTCCCTTATATTGATGACGTCATTGTCGTCTATCACTCGGCAATCTTCGGCGACACGAATACGATCAACGATTTATAAATGTATAACGATTAAGGTAGCGTACAGGTTAACTACGAAAGCTCACACTAAGGACACTATTACTAAGCTAGGCCAGTCCCTCCTAATATTATAAATGCGAAAGTAACTCTGTCTGTCTGTCTGTCTGTTTGTTAGGATTTCACGCCTAAACCACTGAACTGATTTTAATGAAATTTGGTACAGACATAGAGTTGACCTTGATAAAGAACATAGGATAGTTTTTATCCCAGACTTTTGAAAGGTTCTCTTGGAAAAGCGATATAACCGAACTCCACGCGGGCGAAGCTGCGGGCGGAAAGCTGGTTTTTCTATATAGTTTATAATGCGTGTCACCTGTTCCGCGGCCAGGTACAGATCCTTCCTGAAGGTGAGTCCTAATACGTCCAGGTCCTCTCTGCCGTAGCGGAAGGCCGCCAGCACGTGGCCGAACACCTTCCGATCCTTCACATACTCCGGATCTATCAACACCACGCCATCTGAAACACGATATTAAGATCATAAACATAAAGAAACATAAGCTGTATGTATGCTTAAATAAATAAACAATATTCGCTTTGAAGTATCCAATGAATATTGAACAGTTTTCATACAATAGATGTTATTGAACTAAAATTTTTTGAATTTTAAATAAATCCGTATTTGAACGATTCACGAGGCTCAACTCTCAAGTAAGTAATGTTTTTAAACTACTATTTCAACAAATCTTTAAAGAAAAAAAAACAGTTTATTATTAACAGTTGCTATATTGATGGTACATACCAATAGGATCTACGTGTGTGATGTGATCTACGAAGTCCCTCTTTCCTAAATAAACTGTAATCTGAAATGAAAAATAAACCTCCTTTAACATAAAAAACACTGGCGAGAAATAAACAAAATTATATACAAATTAAAAATCGTAGATGAGATGGAGGATTATATAGGGTGACTGGTGAATTACTATCGATATTTGAGGACGTGATATTTGACGATCATATATGACAAAATAAAAATTAATATAACATAGATATTAATAAACTTCTAAGTAAAGTTAACCAAAAGTTGTGTAATTAATTACGCATCGTGTGAACACCCTACAGATTAGGTATACACACACACTCACACACTCGCTTGCGGCGGCGTAGTGTTGTATCAGCACGCCGCCGCACGCGTCCACACTTGGAACACTTGGAACGTGTCAACACTTTATTTATTTATACGGAAATTTGGTAAAAAATTAAGTACCTATTTTTTTTACATAATTCGAATGAGAATCATGTACCGAGTATGCTCCTTAAATATTGATAGTAATTCACCAGTCACCCTGTATATCGTATTGTATGTCAATAGAGTTCACTATACCTTTCCATTTGGTGAGCTCTTCTTGAAGACCCTGGTGGCCTGTCGCTGCTTGTTGCTGCCTCCGTCGTCCATAGTTCCGCCTCGCCCCCCGCACCACTACAATACAAACATACATCACAACATCCTCATATTCAATACTAACTAAAACACGTGACTCTGTCCGATAAATTTAACATAATAATTTTTTTTTGATACATTCACGAGAAAACTGGATATCAACAATTATAATAACTTTATATTTTATGAAGATGTTGCACTATTTTTAGATAATAATTCATTGATTTTGTGTCGTGTTCAGATGACAGTTACAGAGGTATTTAATTTAATTTATGTAAATAATAAATGTAAAGCTATCATAACACTAACGTAATTGTATATACAGAAACTTAATATTTTCCTTAACAAAATACAGGAAATAAACCAACAGTACAGGAATGCGGTGAAAGTGATCTATTTAATTTGAGTAACATTCCGACAGCGAATCGTTTAAGTTTAATTACCGCAATAAAAACTATTAAAACCGTATTTATATTTACTCACTTCATTTAATTAGAAATATTCTTTAATTTATATACAAAACGATACGTGAAACCTATTATAACTCTAACTACATTATCATATAAGGTTGTTATTTCAATGTCGAGATTTCAACGCTTTTTTTTTTTCAAGGAGCAATTAGTCCTTAGTGACAACTGTTTGAAACATTGGGGTCATTGACATTTCAATAATAGACTTAGCATACAAAATAAATAAATAATGGATTATACATTTCACTTTTTTATACGTCAATTAAAACATATTATGTCTGGATTATAAAGTTAAACAATAAATAATTATTATAGAACGTAATGTATGAGTGCATTTCAACTGTCTGCTTCATTGTCTGATGTCTCTGTTTACGTTTTAAAATATATATACATATCAAAAAAGTATGGGTAATTATTAATTAATTAATGAGATGAAAGTTCTGAAAAGTATCGACACTTGTAAAGCAATATCAATGCCATTAATAATACATATAAATTTTAATATCATTTAAATTCTAACAATGATAACGTGAAACTAAAAGTGACATGGAATGAAAAGAACTTTAAAAAAGTATATAAGTTATACTTACAGATTTCAAAAGACAATTATTAGGTTTGATCGTCATTTTTATATACACCGTTAAATATTTTAAAGTACCAATTAATTATTATAGACGTTTGAATGTATCGATCTCATTAAGCACACTGATGTTTTGTTTACCTCAACTGAGTAATAAATACGTGTATCGTAAGATGAACATTAAAACAATATGCGGTCTGAGAGCTTGTGGTGTGACGCATAAACATTAGAATTTATAATGGTTACTGTGAATCGAAGAATGAGGATATTGGACCAGCCTCGTATCAATACGGCCTGTCATTGACGCTACCTGGAGTTAACAGTGTTACGTTACCAAAACATTATAATCATCATTGTTATAAACAAATTTAAATATGTATACGAATTACGTATGAAAATTTATGAAGGAAAAACTTTAAAGTTCACGTTTGGTCTGATAATGCAAACTAGAATGGAACTCATATTATATGAAAGAACAAATATATTACGAGAAAAATTTTGATATAAAGATAAAAGAATGTAATCAAAGAAAGAATCATTGAATGAGTTTTCAAAGTATAAAATGTGTGCAATGAGGGAGTTTTCGTAGTATTTCAGTTGCAGACGCTTTCATGGGAATTAGATAATAGAGAAAAAAATTTGACTTAGCCTTTTATATATAAGACGAAAAATATACTCGAATACGACTTGAACTACAGTTCACAACTCATTCAATTTATTATTATTTTATTGTGCTTTCAATACTTATAATGAATTTTCTTAAGAATATCGAATATTTTATACACGTCCGAGCTTTACTAAAAATTTCATATTAAATAATAATGTTTTAAAGCAATTGGATATACTTATAATATCTTTGTTAAAAAATGAACTAGAGAAATGAGTTAAAATCTTTCAAAACCTTTTGCTCTGTATTTTCATAACATTTCTTTTAATTCATATAAAAAGTCTTGTACATTTTCGGTATTAATTAATTATTTATAAAGTTCGTGTCCTAAGAAATGTCAAGTATTTTCAGTTGGGAGTTGTTTATTTTTAATCGTCTTATTTATATAAACTCATTTATATAATTTACTAAGAGACGTACAAAAATATCTTAAATAACATCTGCCAACATACATTCTTAACACGACACCATTAAGTTTCTTAAGATAAAAAAAAAACTACTTTCAAAATGTCTACTTTTAATTTTACTTTCGTTCAAATTCACTATTATTAGTAGCGATTTTAACTTTTTACTCTTTAGGTAATAAGTGTGCTACTTAATGTGACATTTCGTACTTAAGTTACTTAATTCTTAATTATTACGTATTAAGTTAAACTAAGTTTAATTCAATAGTACTGGACATAAAGCCTAATTTTGTGAAGCATAAACCTAATCAACATTTCCATTCAGCGAGTACTGCTTTCGTATCTTCAGTATTTATTGTATTTTTGAACAGTATCACATTGAGTACATTAAATTATTAAAAGTGCAATTTGCTGCCATCTGTTGTTATAGCTATATAGAGATGTTTATTCAATTCATATATATATGCATTAATACTTTCGAAGCTATGTTATTCAACATGATTGCACTAGAACCAGTTTTAACTGGTTTTAGTTTCATCTGTAACATTAATAACAAACTCACGATATCCCTTTTGCGGCTCCAGGATGTGTTCTAACACCTCAGGCCAGTCGTGCGCCGCGCCGCCCTGGAACGAAAATATATCATTAAAGCGGTTATTACTACTGAGTACTGATTTAACTCATACTACGATTATGATAATGCTTTCGCTGCGAGGAAATCTCGAATGAATATAAATGAACCACATTACAGTATAAAAAGATTTAAGGGTTCATAACTTCGAAGTATTTTAAATTTGATGTTTTAGTCGTGTCTGAATTCAGCAATAGTTATTTATATATATTTTTAAATATTCATTTCAAAGGTTACAAGTGAAATTCGTTGAAGTGAAACAAAATAAAACTGAATGACTGAAGTAGAACTTCTTACTCTTCTTTGAGAACGCATTTAATGCAGCACGATTTAACAATAGCAAAGTAAGGATCTACAATTTTGTGTGTTCAGAACATTTTTTGTGGCATGTATTCAAGAGTATGGGGATAAATACTATAGTCTATATTAAATAAAACACTATGAATACTATCCGCAGTTTGTCATAGCACTATCCGTTTCATAAAAATTAATTACTTAACACATTGCTTAACGCAAAACATTTAATTACACATGTATATACATATATGTATAATAATAATATGAAATATGTTATATTCAAGGATCACCTACTTAGTTTTCAAACCTACAGCGTTATTTTACTAACGAGAATAATGTATCTGGTCTTTCTTTCAAAATCATCAAAAGTATAATTTTATAGTTATCATAAAAAAAATGATAAAAAATTAAACTAAATTTGGTCCCTCTTTATGAACCATAAGGATTCTAAAGTCTTACAACTATGCGATATGTAAGTCATATACTATAAAGTTCAAGTAAAACTTTACTCTTTGTTTCAGTGTAACCAAAAAATATAAATATTTTGACTTGATATATCCTCAATCGGTAGACCAAATAGTACTCTTACCATTTAATAAGACGTAACCAGCTGTCTTGATATGTATATGGAATGTCTTATACCTAATGCAAGTCTTTTAATGAATTACTTAGTGATTATTTTGATAATTCAAAAAAGTTATATTATTGAACTTTAGCAACATTAACAATTTTTTTTTAAATAGAAATAAAACAAATCAAGGCATAATATGAATATAACGTAAACTAGTGTACAGTCAACCACGCAAGTGTTGAACTCTATTCCAACTATCAGCCTCCAGTCGGGGGATGCTGTAATAGGATCACCGTTCACACTCGATCACCATTCACACAGATGAGATAAGGATAATCTAACTTACATATATAAGATAGCGACTTCGAGTATATTTTACAATTAAAAAAACTGTAAAAACGAATGCAATTATACTCAGATAAAAAATACGATTGAAAATAATTAAGACATATTTTCATTGACGAGCAATATCATAAAAAATACTAATATTAGTCATATATTTTTGATGCTATAGGCACCATAACTAATGTATATATGACATCAAATCTTATTTACTTTCCCATTTACATCTGATTCGTTTTTATTGAACCTCCCTCGGTATAGTCCGGGACTAAGCCGAGGACTAAGGGTCGCTACGACGGGATTCACGTGTATTACTACTTAAATAAAGTTATTATTCAATATCTACTTCTATTTATATTAAAACACACGAAAACTGTATATAATTTACTATATATGTTTCATAAAATATATATAAATACAATTTAGGTATGTACTTTCGCTCGCTTTCGTTATATGAAATTGTTAGTGATGTCTTACTTTTTACGCAGCATTAATTAGTAAAACTGAAATAACTGGTCACATTTTGAACGCATTTGTATACATAAGAATAATACATAATATTATATACAAGTCTATGTAATATCTCTGAGTAGTTCCCTATATCTTGGTACCATTTTCCATCACAACAAACATTTATAGAAACCGCAGGACTCAAATGAATCTGAGGTTAAGACGCGGAAATTGAACTCGAATACATTTTCTTATTGCATTACACTCTATAAGGATATATGGACTTCTGCTTGAAACTTAGAATAAAAAGGCTCTTATAATAATAGTTTAATTTAATCAATTCTCTAATTCCTACCGTTTTATCGTAGTTGTGGTATATTTGTTGATACATTTTCCGTTAAGTTTGGTTCAGTTTATAATCCGGTATTTCGGTTTTATCTGTACCGGGCGAGGGGATTCTTCGTAATCATTAACGGTGCTTAGCTTTATTATTGTTTATGATAACGGGACGAGGGGAAAATACGCTGAGATTCATGTTATACCATATTATTATAATATATTATTATTGGGATATATAATTATCGTTACACTTAAATTGAGGCTATTAAAGTAATTAAGATAGGGAGATATGCTGAGATATTTGTTTAGTAACTTTTAATAAGTTATCTATATCTTGATATACAAAAGAAAGTCGTGTTAGTTACACTATTTATAACTCGAGAACTGCTGTACGGATTTGACTGGAAATTTGTGGGGAGATAGATTGTAATCAGGAGACAGGTATAAGATAATTTCGAATTCGAACGACCAAAAAAAATTGGAAATAAAATCCAAAATCTGTTTATTTACTGCATCTAAATCGAAACATTTCACCTGATCAGCTGTAGGTACATTTCAAATTATGAAACTAACGCGGACGAAGTCACGGGAAAAATCTAGTACATATTAATATAAAGTGTAACGAAATTGAGTTCCGCGTTTCTCATGGAAGGTAATCTAGAAAGCACTATTTGAGTATGACAATATGTTTTGAGAGATTACTGTTAAGACAAAAAAAAAACAATTTAAGAATATCAGGCCTTAGTATTCATTAAATGATGTAATTCTATAACAGCTTATAAATAAATTATAATATATATTTCTTTTCGTAACAAAGTTGTCTACTTCATATTCATTAAAGTTCAGTGACCGTACCAAAAATTCGTTCCATTAAATTAACACTTTATTACATTTGGAGTAAATATCACTGATGATACTTAAAATTAATTAAAATTTATCACAAAAATATCACAAAGTAATGATTCATCATATGAGCGGTATGCTGGTAAAACCAAAATTAAAAGTATCGTCCGCCTTTTTTAAACATAGCCACGTCTGCTTCACGTGGTTGCCAAAAATATTTATACCTTCACCTATACAAATATAAACATAAACGACACTTCAATTATTTTTCAGTATTAAAAACCAATGTTGCCAGTCTTTAATTTAATCAAAGTAAAAAAGAAAAAACAAAACTCGTTGACATGGCAACATCTCATTTAACTGTCACCGAGTGTCATGAGAGGCTGTGACATATACGTCACTTATAATATAAACATATTAAATATTTGGTATAACATATCAAAGCGTATTCCTCGTAAATTATAATTACGTGAACAGACAGACACTCGACTGATGTAATATT